TACCAGCCCAGACGAGTTGAAAACTTTCCATATAAACACTTGCGTTTAAATGTTATATAATGAATATAATTTTGCCTCTCCCATGGTAGCTCGGAGGGTAGAGAGTGTCTCTATTACCCGAGATCATATAAACAGCACCTCAGTCACATTATTATCCCCTACCCCTCAACATCTCTATTCAATGCTGCATAATATTTACAATATTTGTGATCATACCAAAGATTGAATTGGCATGGCATACAAAATATGTGAAGATTATGATTTTCATCCCATAGTTTTTAGGTAAGATTGTGTAGTCAAACTATAGAAATTGTGACCTATGATGGCATTGGAAGTGCTAAAATGATGGGCAAATTCTAAGCATAACTAAAATTACATGGAATTTTACAGTAGCTTGTATATTGTATATGTATTAAATTATATAATATTGCAGAAAAGTTTCCGTGTCTATGCATACTTTTACCGTATGTCCACAACCCTGAAACGTTTGCATAATAATTATAATAACAATACAGTCATAAGAACAATAAAGTAAATAGAATATACATAAGTTTAGCGATTGAAACACTGCACAAACCAATAAGTAAACATATAAATAAATTAAAACAAACATACTTGCGATCATCGCCAAACCTTTGAAACTCACAGCCAACGCTTTGTGCAGTCAGCAGGATGCATCGACTGCACAAACTTTTCCAGAAGTTCTTTGACATGTACTGCCACTGTTGATTCTTTCAAGAAGGGCAAAAGACAATTTTATATACCCATCGCTCGGCCGTGCACAGTGTTTTCACCTCGAACGTCAGAACGCTAATGAGTGAATTTTTTATTTTACTCATGATGCATTGCGGTCGTAGTGCGATCACCGCCTGCTCTGCAATATAAACGAAAGGCCTTCGCTCGAAACTTCGAAGTTCTAGTTATATTTTCCAGTAAGTTGTTTATCTATAATACTATTGTTTGTGGAAACACCACGTAAAATTATTACTGCAAAGCTTTCGATCCGTCAGCTTTTTCCACAAACGGTTGTATTTATATTGTATGTTTTGTCGCCATGCAAACCTACAAAGAACTTATTTAGTTGCTTATCCGCGTTGCAACGCAGCTGTCTGTTTTATTCTCTGCGTACATTCACACCGTCGATCTTTGGAAATTATTTAAATGCAGCGAATGTATAACAACTAAATTGATATGAAAGTTTATGCTATAAAGGTCTAGCGCATCGAACTCTACGATCGATGTTGTGCGGATGTGAAAAGAAAACTATTGAATGCTAACGTCTTTCATCTAAGTCGGGGAAGTGACATATTGAATTTAACTTAATGGAATTTCAAATACTGTTCTATATAACAAGATATATTACAAGTCAAACCGGAACCATTTCGTTTCGGCCATAATATTATTTACTAGAAAATACATGCATGCAGAAACCCATTAGAAGGTTTATCTTTTGGAAATTCACAAGCTGCATGCAAATAATCAAGATTGTGTTGATGATTAAGCCATTTCACATTATTTTTCGTTGTAATATAACAATTAACAACTGAATTATGATAATGATTGTATAGAAAAAAGATGAAAAATTACTTGAAAAAATTACACCTGCATTTGCGGCATTCCTCAGTCTTTTCAAGTGCATATGCATGGATGTGACTAATAATTTTCGAGTCATAACTTTGGTCAAAAACGTCCGCGCAGCTTAGACAATAAAAGACCGCAATTTAATTTACTGACAATTTGATTACGATCGAATTAATGCATTAAGATACCAGAAACAGTATTGGCGAAAATTATAATAACATACATGCTTACGTAAGGACGGAGTTTGAAAATCCTCAGAGATACGAAAAACTAGTTTCATATTAATCTGACACTGCAATCGAGCAACGCAAAATTCGTTGGCTCGAGCGGGATTTGAACTCGCATCTTCGGGTATCTAGACCGCCGCTCTACCTATTGAGCTATCGAGTCAACAGGGATTGGTAGCGAGTCTTATCCAATTTAAGTGCACGAAATATTTTCGTGACGACTAACGCTTGTCTTAGAATATTTCGTGCAGACAAGCCGATAATAACAAGACGACAATTTCGGTTCTCCTATCGCACAGAAATATTTCTTGCGTTATAGACAATCGCCTTGTTGTGTCTCGCCCGGAATTTCTCGAAATCATTGTAGAAACTGATATACTACACTGCCACAAAAACAAATTCGCCAACATATAATTAGAACGTTGCGAACCGAACCATTACTTATAAATTTCGTTTGCGAGATCTCTTTCGATAAACAAAAAAATATTACATTAACTGTTGTGCATAAAGACGAGATTAATATGTGCGTATGAATGTTTCAGTTTAGCTTATCATACTGATATATTTTGTTACCTTGATTCTACTCTATGATTACATGGACGGCAATTAACTGCACATGTAAGTCTAAACGTTTGGTATAGCTCGCATTCTTATTTATGCATGTGAGCCATATCAAACGTTTAGATTTACCTGCACATCTGATCGACTCGACGAGTGCGAAATTTGCCGTGTTTTGGCAGTTTTCCCGGCAGGAAACATTTTATTTTTTAAGAAGTATATATAATCATACAAAATCTAACAATGTAAGGAATTATTTATAAGCGCAATAGTGCGTGAAAAGCACATATCTAACAACATTTCCATACGAGGTCTTTACCAATAGATTCAAACGCGCAATATTTATAGCAGGTGGACATCATACACTTTGATGCCGATTGTCATCTTGCCCCAATAGCCTCTTATTATTTTCTCATGTTTCGTGCGCGTCAAGAACAAGGTTTCTGTTCGGATCAATATCAAAGTTAAATATATTCGTGCACGAAATATGGGATATAACCTTCATGTGGTCATGCCATGCTGAAACAGACAAACATGAAAACGATCGACCATTGGGGCAAAAGCACAATAAACGGTAGTATTATTTGAATTGTATAACATATAGTATACGTTGTACGTCCTATTAATACATCTGTACCATTCAAAACAGTTAGAAATTTATCCTACCTTAATGTATTTCTTTAATGGAGAAAATACTCTTTCCACCTTTAAAAAACAATTGAACTGAACATATATGTCTCGCGACGTTGTTCTGATATTAACACAATAAGAGAGAAAGTGCTAACTAATTATGAATTTTCGAATATTGTTTTTAAACATGCACTCAGTAACCAAATTCGACTATTGTGAACTTCTCTTTGAAACTTGCGAAATTTTAATTTGACGAAATTCAAGCGGCATATAATCACACGAGATTTGTAAATGCATGGAAAACCATCTTAAAAGTGTATTTTCCTAAATATATTTTCCTTTAATTAATCTTATATATATTTTAAATGACGACTGAAAAATAATAGTGATTTTACTTTGGAAAGGATAAAAAATTTCGATGTCAAAAGTTACACCTGCCGCGCCAATGCAAATTTTGTTATTCACTTACGCATAACTCTTCATTTTTGAATCATAAATTTTGTTTTACAAAGACGCCCGCTTAGCCCAGACGATGCGTGAAAGACAACTCAATTTTCTGAAAATTATAGTATAAACTCATTGACTGAAGCATTAAGATCCTGGAGTCCCTATCATCCGAAATTATCCCCGAGCCGACGGCGCGAAGCGCCGTGCGAGGGTACTAATTTCCCCCGGCTATTTACACCCGGGCAAACGAAAGCATTAGCGGAGTCTAAAGTTCATCAAATATCGCGGGCGTGGGTGACCAACCGTGGGTGGTCATCCTCACTGATCTCAAATATATGGCGGACTGTCATTAATAGCGGATACTGATTGATCCAATTTAAAATTTGCATTATAACGACTGCATGACGACAGCGAAATAGCAAACATTTCTTGATTTGATGATTGATGAATTTTTACTCGCATTTTTGCAAGCTTTTGTAAATTTCAAAAGTTTTCTCATAAAGAAAGGGCGAAAGAATCGGCTAAAAGAAGGGAGCCGACGTTAACGAAAGTAAGTTTGTTTTAAATATTGATTTTATGAATGTATTTAAAACCCGACGGCCTTTGCGTATATGAAACAACTAAACAAGACAGCATATAATTTCAGTGTATCATTAATATTGATTCCCTTGTTTATTATATTGAATTTTTTAAATAAAAAAGAAAGCAAAGTTATTTGCAAGCGAGAATTTGAAATCATTTTATTGCAAACTCAAAGTTTATCGATAAAGTCATTTAATTATAAAAGGCTGTTTAGTTTTATAAGAAACACTTTAAAACGTTTTGCGAAGCGTTTGTGGTTGAATTTTATCTTAAATTGAAGCCTATATTACGTATAATAACATACCTAAGACATATATGTTGGGAAACTGATAATTTTGTAATTAAAAGTGATATTTTTACGAGATTTGTAAGAATATTCTTAAAAAATTATCTTGTTACCATGACAACTGCTCTGGATACTTCATGTTCGAAAAATACAATGTTTTTGTCAGCAAGGCGAGGGTTTCTGCATGCATGTATTTTCTAGTAATAATTATATGGAAGCATGCTTTCGTAACATATTAGGAAGCCCCATTTTCGTGCACGCTTAGTTTTACAATTCTAAGAACAGCTCAAATTAAGTCACATGGAATATTCAAGAAATTAAAAAAATATCGCATTTTGTCGGTTTTGTAAAATGTAAAATTAAAAATTTCGAAAATGTTTTTAATCCCGACACTTGTTATACGAATCTCTTTAAAGTTACGCCGTTCAGCTGAGGGCAGGTGATTTCCAGTTGGCTAATGCAAACAAAATGCAAACTTTCGCCTCTGTTTAAAATTACAGACAACAGTACGAGGCTTCATGCAAAATTGTAATGTTTCTATAAGTTGAAGGGTTTTTCACCGTTTTTGTAGTAACCAACTGAGCCACAGAGTTCAGTTGTCGAGCTCTAACCACGCACGCGTTCTTGTACAACAAACTTGTGGTCAGAGCTCGACAACTGGACTGTTTAGCTCATTTGGTTAGGATTGTTTTATGCGTCGAATTTTGGTCGCGTCGAATGCAATTAAGACAATAAATAATAAGATGATAAGCCTCATTAATTTAAGCTTCATTATCTATTGTTAAATCTCATTCGACGCGACCAAAATTCGACGTATAAAACAGGGCTTAGAACGCTGCATCGGGTTACATTCCTGCCTATACACTGGGTGTCTAAAAAAACGCAATGGAAATTCAACGGGCTGTCGCGCGACATAAACTTTGCTAAACAATTCAATTTTTACATAGAAAAGCTAAATAACTGCTCTTCTGTCCTATGATACCTTCTTTAAATCGAGAAATGACCACATACCCGTCAAATAAAATTTGCCGATCGGAATCACATTTTTCCACCGTTGGGAATTGAAAATACGTTAATTATGCGAACTTAATCTATCCGAAAACAACGCGAGTCTGCTGCAAGCTATTTATTTTGTAAAACGTTTGATAACGAATGTCCTCTGTTCAGTGGTAATTGAACGATGTTTAATGGTCGTTCGTATTGTCTCAGTAAGACGAAGATTGACAAGTTGAGCTCATTTCAGATATTTTAACATTCAATTTTAATTCCCTCTTGGGTATGTCTATGTTTCGTTTTTCATGTAATTCCCAACGGTGGAAGAATGTGATTTCTATCGGCAATTTCTAAGACGAGTAGGTGGCCATTTCTTATCGATACAATTTAAGAAGAGTATCATTGAAAAGCAAAATAACTTTAACTGTTAGTTCTATTCCTTGAGATGCCCAAAATCAGAATGTTTCTATAAGCCTCGACTTGGTGCTATTAGAGAGTTTAAGTTCGACTTTAAATTTAGCCTGCGTGCAGGCCCAAGGAACTGATAGTGGGCCTGCAAGCAAGGCCTGGTGCTTTGTACTTTCCGCGTTCGCCCACGAACGCGGCATTCTGATTGGCTGTTTGCTGTTGGATTTTATAATTAGGTCAGTGATTCATCACAAAGGCATACACAAAGGCTCTCGATAAGCTTAAAATTCGAAAATTGATCAGTTTTTTCGATTACAAATGGAACAAGAACAGACTGTTTATTGTTTACTTGAAGGAAGAGATGTTTTTTCCGTTATGCCAATGAGGATTGCTTGTCGTAAGGTGTTGGAATATTTAATACGACTGGGGTAAAACTATAGTAACCTTCACTTGAGTTTCATTAATTTCAAACAGACTTGATACGTTATATGTTCCTCAAGAAAATTATCTTTTGGTTGATGTTGAGATGCAGTTGCATGTAAGCCTATTCAAAATACTTTGCGATTTACAAGGCTTCGCTGAGAGAGCAAAACAGAAGACGGTATTAAATTGCCGTTTGAAACGAAACGATCTGGACTCTGAACGCTATCTTCTTTTGTAGAGTTCTCACCAAATGAAATAACTGAAATAAATTTCGTACTTTCCGCTGCCAACAAGAATTGCACACACGATCTGATAAGTGAGACAATTTATTTATAACAAAGGCGACAACGAAGCACACATTATAAATGCTGATGTGGTCGCACGACTTCCCTCACGATTTGAAGTTTGAGACTGGTTTTCTGTTGAAATTCGTCTTAATTTGCCTGCTCCGATTTTAGATGAAAATGAGCACCGGCAAATTTGGCAATTATATTTCGAGATACTCGACTCAATTTAACAATGCATTATCTTTATTATTCACTCCTTTTTAACATATTTACAGTGAATTTAAAGTATATCAACTATAACCATAACAAAATAACGTTCTCAGTCCATCCTCACATCACCGCTGACCTGCGCCCTCCGTTCGTCTTTTTTGTTCACTCCTCAAGCATGGCGGAGCAAGAAAATATTTCAGAATTGGAAAATGTTGTTAATCCTGATCCATCGACGCGTGAAGACTCAATGGAAGGTGGGATGGACCTTGTTCAGGCCGTAGTGGCCGATCAAGGTTTTATTGCGAAACTTTCTTCAGCGATTATGGCGCAAATGGCTCCGCAATTGTTAAAGCAAAACTCTACAGTGCTTCAAGGCCAAGCAGATGTTCAAAATTCCGGAGTATCTTAAGATCAAACGGGTACACAAAATCAGACTCTTCCCGGAGTATCATACGATCAAACGGGTTCAAAAGAGCAATCAAATCCCACCGTATCATACGATAGGTCGGGTACAGCTCCTAAGCGAGGGCGTACGCCTGTAATACGGCTAGACGACGATGACCATGTGCCAGCCAAGCGAGTTCGAAGATCGGACGATGTCAATTTTGACGATGATGTTAATTATGAGTTGGAGGAGTTAGAAACAGAGAACATTCTCTCTCCAAACTCTCGATGGGAAGCTAGTGCGACTTTATCGCAGTTTCTCGAAACAGCTGTAAAACGGTTAAATAAATTTGAGAGGAAAACCTTGGTCAAAACTTACCCAAGACCAAACGTGGACGCTGTGTACACGCCAGCGATGGATGAATACCTAAAGCCTTTCATCCAAGGAGTAGCAACACCTGATAAACCGCATAAAGATTTACAGGATAGTGTTCTAGATTTATTTGGTCCTCTGTGTACAGCATATGAAAATTTGTTATCCATGGAAAGCACCATGACATCTGATGGGGTGGTTGAACTGAATGCTACTGGTCTCCGTAGCTTCCAGGAGTGTCTCAAACATGCATTGCTGTTAACTGGAGATGTAGTTGCTCGAATTTCCACAAATCGTCGGGAAGTTGTATTGAAAAAAAAATAAACCCCCTAATGGTGTCGTTAGCTCAAGAAGAGTTCTTTGATACAAATCGGAATTTGTTTGGATCAGGTTTTGAACAACGGCTCAAAACAAGATCTGAGACTGCAGAGACTATCGGGAAAGCATCTCGAGCAGGCAACCCCTTTCTTCGTGGGGCGGCCTCCAGGGGATTCCACAGACCTCGTGGGGGCCGACAAGGATTCAACTTCAGGACCTTTCGCCCATTCAGTCCCAGAGGGACCATGTTCAACAGGGGGAACAGAAACCGAGGCCGTGGCTCATTTCCAAGATTTACAAATCCCCAGACTTACAAGTCGTTCCACCAATAAAGAAATTCAGACCAGACTGTTTACCCAAAGGTATGTTTTCAGAACTTTTTCAGGGCAATTTGACTCAAAATATACCTCAAACGGGGCGCTGAACGTTTTTCACCCCCGCATGGGAAATGATCACACAGGACCCTTGGATCCTGCAGGTCATCCAGGGTTACCAGATAGAACTTGTAACTCCTCCAGTGCAACAGTCCATTACCAAAGCTTTCTTCAACACAAGAGACTGTGTTGGAGCAAGAGGTAAAAGAATTGTTGATGAAGCAGGCAATTCATCCAGTACAATCCCCAGAGGCAGGATTTATAAGTTCTATCTTTGTGGTGCCCAAGAAGGATGGGGGGAATCGTCCAGTAGTAAATCTAAAACCCCTGAACCAGTTTCTAGGCTACGAGCATTTCAAGATGGAGGGCATCCACATGTTAAGGGATCTATTAAAGAAGGGAGATTTTCTCGTGAAAATCGACCTCAAGGATGCTTACCTGACAGTGCCAATTTGGAAAAACCACCAAAAATATCTTCGGTTTCTTTGGAAGGACACCATGCTGGAGTTTGCATGCCTTCCTTTCGGTTTGGGGACAGCGGCAAGGGTTTTTACCAAGCTTATGAAGCCGGTAGTAGGGGCATTGAGGCAAAGAGGTATTCGCCTAATTATATATTTAGACGATATCCTAATTATGGCCGAATCTCACGATCTAGCATTACATCATGCGGCCTCAACTCTGAATCTCCTATAGGGGCTAGGCTTCTAGTAAATTACCAGAAATCACAACTCTTGCCTTGCCAAGAGATGGAATTTCTGGGGTTTTTGATAGATTCAAACGCCATGACACTCCAACTTCCAGGAGAAAAGTTGCGAAAAATATAATCCGCAGAAAGTGTCAGAAATTGTTAGATCAAACGACAATTTCGGTACGAGAATTGTCGAAATTCCTGGGCCTCCTAACCTCCTCCATTCAGGCAATATTCCCTACTCCTATTCATTACAGGCATCTGCCAAGGCTAAAAAATACAACTTTAGCCTCCCTTCAAACCTACGAAGCCCAGGTTGCTTTAGACCAGCCAGCAAGAGAAGAGATTCTTTGGTGGAGAGACCATCTCCATGCATGGAATGGCCGGGCTTTGTTTCAGAATCCTGTCGAGCTTATAATCGAGACGGATGCCTCTCGGAAGGGGTGGGGAGCATGTTGCGAGGGGGTGAGGACAGGGGGTCCTTGGTCCTTCAAAGAAAAGAGACTTCACATCAACTGTCTCGAACTCCTTGCAGGTTCTTTGGCAATCAAAACATTCACCAAATCCAGAGCCTGTGCTCATGTAAAACTGCTGATGGACAATGCATCAGCAGTTGCTTACATAAACAAGATGGGGGGCACTCATTCCAAGGGTCTAGCGGAATTAGCGATAGATCTGTGGGAATGGTGCTTTCAGAAAGATATGATGGTGCCAGCTCAACATCTCCCCGGGTACTTGAATGTAAGGGCAGACCAGGAGTCGAGAGTGATACAGGATTCCAGCGACTGGAAACTGAACCTGTCAGTTTTTCAAGCTCTGCTCAACAGGTGGGGCCCTTTCGAGGTAGATCTTTTTGCATCCAGGCTAACACACCAACTGCCCAAATTTGCCAGTTGGAAACCCGATTCAATGGCAACTTACGTGGATGCATTTTCCGTGAATTGGAACGAAATTCGGGGGTACGCCTTTCCCCCATTTGCCCTGATAGGTCGTTGTGTACGGCAGGTCAGGTCCCAGAAAGTGGATCAGTTAGTTCTAGTAGCACCGGTATGGCCAACTCAGCCTTGGTACCCATTGCTACTGCAACTGTGTGTGGATCTTCCACTACTATTTCCGATGTCTCCTCAACTTCTGATGAAGGGAGAACAGTCGCACCCCCTAAGCAATTTCCAATTAGCTGGGTGGAAGCTGTCGGCAAATCCCATGAAACAGCAAACGTTTCAGAAGAGACTCGAAACGTTTTGTTGGCGGCCTGGAGACAAAACACCAGTTAGCTGGTGTGATCAACGAAAAATTAATCCACTTTCAACATCTATAGAATCTATCCTAGAGTTTCTTACAGGACAATATAAGGAGGGCAAAGCATATAGATCAATTAATGTTTATCGCTCTGCCTTATCTGCAGTGTTACCACTTATTGATTCCTGGAAAGTTGGCTCTCATCCACTAGTTTCCCAACTATTGAGGGGGATATTTAATTTACGACTTCCTCAACCAAAATACTCGCACACATGGAAAGTCTCTCAGCTGTTGGGCTACATAAAATCCTTTGGGCCTAATGAAAATTTAAGCCTAAAAAATTTGTCTTTCAAATTGGTAACACTATTGGGTCTGACAGCACCAGATAGATCGTCTGACCTAGCTAAACGAGATTTGAGGTGGCGTATTTTTCATCCTGAAGGAGTATCGTTTTCACTCTCTGGTTTGTCAAAGACCTCTAAACCAGGAGATTCACCAAAAACTAGTTTTCATGCAACATTTAAGGAAGATAAGGATTTATGTCCAGTGGAATGTTTAAAGTTTTACTAAAGAATTTCGATCTGGTGATGAGCATAACAAACTATTTTTGTCTCACATTCTTCCTCATAATCCTGTATCTTCATCAACTTTAGCTAGATGGATAAAGTCGTTGCTGCAATTAGCAGGCATAGATACATCTATTTTTACTGCGCACTCATTAAGAGGAGCTGCTACAACAGAGGCATTAAATCAGGGTGTTTCAATCACAGATATTTTAGGGATGACAGATTGGTCTCAGGAGAGTACGTTTGCACGATTTTATTATAAGCCTCGATTTGATGTCTCACCGGGTAATGCAGTGTTATCAGCTTGCCATTCTTGATATTTACATTTTAGAACTTTGAATATGCATTGTTAAATTGAGTCGAGCATCTCGAAATATAATTGTAGATTATGCAAGTCTGTTTTAATAGATGCAGTATAATATTAATTATATGAGAGATATGAGACGAGATTTAACCATAGTTAATAGAAATAATAAACATGGTTAGGAAGGCCGGCAAACTTCAAAGGCTTAGCGCTGCGATGTTGACGGGGTACTTCCGGTTGTAA